ACAGGTCTCCGGGAAGCTCCTTATTTTACCCTGTACAAAGACTATAAAATTTTTTCTCTTCAAAGTAACAAAGAGTTAGCAGGTCAGTTTACTTGGAGAGCAGCAGTTAATTAGATCTAGACACAAAAATCTAGACTTACAAAATCCAACTTTATAAAAAATGGGGCAAATAGATTTCAAAACTTGACATCAGTGATGTCACAACAGTTTTGACTCCCAGGGGAAAGCAATCCAAGGTTGTTTCTTTAGGCATGTATTTCAGCAACCCACAAGTAAAGTATTTGACTAAAAATGTGGACAGATCTGTGCAGAAACAGAAAATAAACCTGAACATGCAATTTTAAGAGGAGACAAGAATGGTACAAGAAGCAGATTAGTCTTTGCACACTTTTCAGTTGTTCTAGCAAAGGTCTGTTATGACCACAGAGAAGAGAAATAGGATGATCTTTATATTCAGTGCAACTTGCATAATGCTCTTGGAAAAGAAAAGCTAGAAAACGAAGAAAGGAAAGAAAATGTGGCTCTTCCAACATGACTGAAAGCAAAAGTGAAAGATACGCTGTGTCAGTCCAGTTTGGTCCTTTGCATGACTTCTGGAATTTATGAGGCAAGATTCTGATGTGGGATAAAGCAGTGTGACTCCACTGGTTGTGGTGTAAACTCACCAGTTGATCAATAACAAGGACTCAGGCCCATTCTGTTTGCCACAATGAAACCTTTCTCAGGTTGGAAAAAGAAGTTTCAACGGTGGGTACAAGCATAGGATTCAAAACACCTGAGCTAAGATTCAGCTTTGGCAAAGGGTTCCTACACGATCTTGGGTACGTCTCCCCAGTGATCCCTAAGGAATGCTGTCAGGATGTTTGTTCTAGAGAGTGAGGCACTGGGGTCATGTAAGTATTTGCTAGAGACCCCAGGAAAAGATGAAGAACGCTAAACATTGTTGAGATGGTGAGCAGTGTTGTTACGTGAGCGTGTACAAGCCATCACTTACGCAGGGGGGTGCCATATTGATATTCTTTGTTTACTGAAAAGGAAAGGAGCGCTGGATGCAGGTAGCTTATCCTCCAGGAAGCCGGCAGTGAAAAAACAAGCAGCTTATCTAGCCCTGCAACCCCCCTGCTCCCCTTCCCTTCAGCAGCGGAGAGCACGATAAAAGCTGAGACGAGCCTCTGTAGGAACCCAAAGCTGTGAATCTTCCTCTCACTCTGTCTGGCCAAAATCCCTTCATTCGCAGGGGGAATTTAGGCCGGAGATCACCAGTTCTAGCTCTCCGCCAGAATAACAGAAGAGAGGGTTAGAAAGGAAGAAAACCAGCCATAACTCAACGAGTACAGTCAGAGAGGAGCAGGAGATGCAGAAAATATGTAGTCCTCTGCTACGTTTCCAGCTATCTCCTCACCCTGCTGACCCTTTCAAATTTCCCCCCCCATGACATTGGGTGGTATTTTTTTTTGTCATCATTTCAATATCATTTGCCATTTAGAATAAGAAAAGAGCCTGGGACAGGAGTAGATTTCTGCTGCTTTGGGGGTTTGCAAACTCCAGCCCCCACCCCCATTTGATTACAGGTCGGTATTCCAGCCTTGTGTATAAGGCACTGACAGATACCCTGGGGTTCCCTGATACAGCCTTGCTGAAGGACACCCCCCAGGACACAGACAAGCCAGAACAGCACAGCTCCACAGCTTGCTGGCACTAGCAGGACTTGGGATAGGAAAGAGGCAAGTTCTTCATCACAAATATGAAAGAATTAGAGAATGGAAAAAATCAGAAGTGAAAACAAAAAAGGTGCAGCTGAAGTTTGAGGTGGTTAAAATGATAAATGGGACTGTGCCATTCACAGGTGGATGGATGGATCAATCAATTGATCTCATCTACACTGACACACACTTTGGAGCTATAATTCACTGCTGGGGCAATTATTCCAGCACAGCAGTGGCAGGAGTTCTATCAGAGACAGAATTCAGGTGGTTTTAGTCAGCAGAGAGTTGGACAACAAAGGATTAAAAATTGGTAAATGCTACCCACCAGTAAAGATACATGAGATTCAAGTTATGTCTGTGCAGTTGCAGCGTGTAGAGGGATGGATGGATAGATAGATAGACAGACAAGCAGACACATAAAAGTCTGAGTTTTGGTTGTGCAATCATTCGCTGTCTGACCTTATCCTTGCCTCCTCTCCACTGCTTTTAGAGAGAAGTGTGTTTAGCATTATTGTGTCCCAGTCTCTTTGCCATGTTACTGTTGACTTCTTTATCCCCTTGCACAAAGTACATGGTGCTGCACCTCTGGAAGGTGTGAGGAATTTTTCTTCATAAGCCTTGATATGTTCAAGAGAGGGCTGGGCTCACCTCTGCTGTGAGTCTGACAGGGGCTTTAACAGCATCACAGCACCGGGACAAATAGCTCCTGGTCCCTTAACCTTTCTCAGCTTTGCAAGGCAAGGCCTGGCACTGTTGTTCCCATTGCAAGGGCTTTAGACAGTCTTTCAGGCTGAAATCCTCTCTGTGGTGGCTGGGCAGAGCGGAAATCCAGGGGCTGGATCAGATTGGCCTAATGCTACAGCAGCTTAAGCAGTCTGTTTTACCAGAGATTATGGTTTCACTTACACAGAGCGCCTGAAAAATGCTGTGGTTTAGGAAGGATTATAGCTGAAAATTCCATGCCTTAAAAGAGAAATAAAGCAGGGGAGGGACTAGGAAACACAACGTGCCTGGGGGCTGTGCAAACAGGATTAACCTCTGCCCATAGCACCTCTTGCTTCTGCCCACCCACGCTTCCTGTGTCCATCCTCTTCTCTGCCCTTTCCTCCCCAGTGGCTGCCCACACCTCCTTTCTCTTGCACAGTACGGAGAGCTGACAAAGGAGCTTGGAAAATGCCCAGGACCGAAGCGTCCCTAGATTATGTAGGTAGGACTGCCAAGTGGCTACCTTGGAAAATATCACTTCACTTGCAGGCCCTGAAAGCCATGGGAGCTTTTGGCCCTCTGCCTGCAGACAGATCTATTCATCCAAATTATCTAGTGTCAACATTATTTGGATAAAGGGTTCAGCACTCTCAGACTGCTAGTCTGAAGGTAAATCTGTGTACTCCTTGCCATCTGATGACAGAGGATGCGGGAGAAAAATAGCTTTAGTAGTTCTCCACTTGCAGAGACTGGCACAGGTAGGCTCACTGGTAGGATTGTAGGAGAGTATATAATTGTAAAAAGCAGTAGCTGGGCACTGATGTGCTGCCTACTCTGGTGATTTTCATTAGCTGTGCAACAAGAACCAGATACTCCAGCTTCTACTCTGCATATCCTCCACAAAAGGTCCTTTGCCAACAGAGATTCCTATAGCAAAAGGGAGAAGAAATAACAATCCTCACTTAGTATACCAGAGACTTCATGTAAGTATACTAAATAAAGAGGAACTGTACACCTTTTGGCCAGGAATGATCCTTCTCAATCAACTGAACCATGAACATATGTCTTCACTGAAAAGGTGTCTCAGTGATCAGAGACCTTTGCAGGCCATCCAGGCTAGAGGTGCTTGGAGGAAAACACAGATGGCAAACTATCGTTTTTGCCAGGTAGAAAACCTTTAGGAAACAAATGCCTCAGGATAAACAGCATTCACAGGTAGAAACTGCCCAGCCCTTTATTGTCTAGGTGAACACTGCAGCCTCACAATAAGGTGCCTAGAGTTAATTAAGCTAGTTCTACATTAATGAAGTCAGATTTATGACTTAATTATACATCACATTTATATTTCTCTGTATAAATCAAAACCACCAGAACTAACTTATTTCATAGGCCATTGGCAACACTTGCCATCACAGCAGAGAGATGGCTTTCATTTATTGGCTTTAATTTGTTTACCTGAGGGTGGATGGTTTGCTAGATGATTTGGATCGGATCTGATCGCATCATCCATACTTCTCTTTCAGGTGTTCAAATACAGGACTCTATTACTGCTGACCCAACAACAGTGGGTGTTCTGGAGTACCCAAGCTTTAGGTCACAGAATTCTCCAATTCCCAAACCTCTTACTTGGCAGCCAAGTTAGGAGCGGTTTCGCAGCTGTATCTATTGTGCCTATGCAAACCTGCACATCAGAAATGAAGGCACAATGCAAATAACAATGAAAATGAGACCTTTTCTAAGCCCCCCACATTTCCTCTCCTCCATTATATCTCTCTGCCAAGGTGTCTGTCTGGCAACACCATACTCCGGGAACATCCAGAGTTAGTACTGACAGCTTTTATGGTCGAAGGTCCAAAGTGTACCATTGTGAACAAGATCAATCTGTTAATGTATCTGTCTATACACCTATTAATTGCATAGACCCATTTTTATTTTAACAACCTCAAACTTCAGCTACATGTTTTTTGTCAAAGCTTTTACGGTGTTTGGCTTGAGAAGCTTTGGCCACTGCACCAAGCACCCTGTTTAATAGATGCTCATAACCGCGCTGCTCTCCTGCGGAAGTTTACCTTGGGTTTGAAGAGACAAAGTGGTATAAGTCCCCGGGCCAAACCGTGTAAGTGCAGCATCTTCATGCGCACTCAGCCAGCGAGAGAAAGCGGCAGGAAAGGGAGCACAGAAGCTTCAGAGCATTCTTCTCCTTCCCAACCCTATGCTTCTTCCTGTCCTCCCTTCTCCTGCATGCTCCCTCCCTCACCTCTCCTTTTCCTGCATCCCATTCCTCCCATCTGCCACTGCACTCCATTCTCCCCATCTCCTG